TATATATTTTTAATATTTTCTTTTTATAATAAAATAAGTATAATTCATTATTTTGTTTTAAAATGAAGCCAATTAAATAAAAAATAAACAAATCGATTAGTTATTTTCTGGTCTTTACATTTTGGTTCAAGTAATTACTCATTCAACTCATTACTTCATCCTATAAACGTTCCTTTGCACTGTATCCAACGTTCATAATTAAATATGAACTGTAATATACATTACCCATTGGAAACCAATATCTAAGTTTCACTACATTTTATTTAAGTTTACATATAAATTCAATAAATTTCCATAAAATGAACTCTTACATTGACAATTCGTAGAGTTTTCTTTTGTAGCACTAACATTCACATATTTAAAATTTTATTACTAAAATGCACCAATAGCTTCCGGCATTATAAATATATTTATATATTATAAAATATTATATTATATTATAAAATTATTATTTTATATTAAAAATTTTACTCAATTTTTTATATTTTTATTTCGTGTTTTAACCACTGCTCCAAAACTGAAATATGACATGCAAGTTTACTGAACTCGATTTTTCATTCCCTAGTTCTATTGATAATTAGGGTTTATACTCAAACCACGTTTAAACGTTTGGTTTTGTCATGTCCAGCAGAAGTGACTCGACGCAAGATAAAAAAGTGTCTGCTAACAGGGTTAAAACTTTGCTTCTCTTGCAGTTTGCAATCTTGCAGTTTCTTTTAACGAGTTGTCTGGGGTTGTTAATATCTAACCTATATGAGTACCTAGAAACAGAGCCATCTCGGGTAGTTATAAAACACGCGAACTGTAATAAATATCATTACGTATTTGTTATTTTATGTATAATTATTCTACTGTGACCTTAACAACGAACTATATCACTTTACCGGCAAACTGACTTTAGTGAGTAGACATTCCCCTCTGCTGAGCCTATGGTGGTTCCTAGGCGAAGTGAAAACCTATAGATAACTAAGCATTTGGCAACTTTTCAAATATCTATTGATATTGTGAAGCTATTATATTTTCATAAGAGACAAAAAATAGTCAAATACTGACAAAACTATATACATAGTTATAATGCAACGAACAGTTAATATAAATATATATTTTTTTGAAAGATAATTAAAATCTATGTAGGGAAGGATATTGTATTATATGAGGCTTATATAAAAAATATTTTTAGTAGTTAAACCCGGGTGTGTTGACGGGGTCACGGTAGCTACTGTCGTATGCGTGGAGTAGCGGCCAATCCGTTTGAATGAGCGCGGAAGAGGGATGACTTTGATGGAGTTGATATACTCAAAAGATGTATGTAAGAGTTCGTTGTGGTTGCTTAAGATGTTGTATGTATGTTTAAGCAATAAGTGATATGTCAGCAATATACTGAAAGGATAGGCTTGTAACCACAAAAATAGTTATATTGTCATGGTGGTAACAGAGCTCCAATCTTGCAGCTGCAGCTTATTAAACTCAACCAGTGAATTGAGGACTGGATACAAAAATAAGATTAAATGAAATGCTGCTCTTTAAAAGTCATTCCTTTCGTAACGACTAAACTGACCAAGCTTGCGGACTTGATTTCAAATTTGTTTCCTCATATTTGAACAGTAGAGTCGCTTTCTCAAAAGAACGCTGTTCATGCACTACATGCTTCAAGCTTCTACCTTTAAGGTGCTTATTTAGGTCTGATGGGCGGACAGTGATTGAATCGTGGTACCACCATGGGCAATCATTTGCGATAAGTGAACGCTGATGCACAAAGCTATCACTGCAACCTAATCTTAAAAATGGTAATAATAACCATCTATGTTACAGTGCAAAAACAACTCAAGACTTTCATTTAATAGATTTATTAAGAATTCTAATTATAATTTGTAAATGCGTACCATATCCTACGAAAATCTTATATCTTATAAAAAATATGTTTAAAAATTGTTTAAGAAAAATTAAAATTAGCAGAAGATATTGTTGGAAGTAAAATGTTCGTTTAACAATTATTGGAAGAGCATGATTTTATTATAAATGATGAAAATTCAATAGAAATAGTTATTTGAACTTGGGTGTCTCTAATTACTAGCATCAGGACGTTTTTGTTGATGCTAAAAACCAGTTCAAAAAACATAGAACAGTGAAATAATGTTATAGCCAATACATAATGAAATTTAACAAATAATTTGAATGAAATTCATTATTATTTTTTTATTTAGTCAACACATAAATAGTTAAGGAATTTGAATGAAATTTCATTTATCATCAAAACTTTTATATTTTGATTAAATTAAATTGATTTTATAAAGTAACTGGTTACTGATTTACATGTAACTCATTTCCCTTTTTATTTAATTAATTTTTTAACATTCTATTACAACAAAACTGTCTAATGTTACAATAGAACATTAGTTCTATTCCTCTTGTTAACTGTGTGATACAATAGTATTTATTATCTGAGTGGTGGTACTCATTACTTTAATTTACAAGAATAACCCATCAATCATCATACACATTTTTTGAGTATTTATTTTAACATTTTTCATTTTCGTTAATATTTTGGAATTTATTTCCTTCTGGCTCTGCATAATTTCGGTTTTAAAAATAAATCAATTAAGCGCCTTAAATTTTTTTTTAATAATATTTTCCAAATTGTTTACGAGTAAGAGTCAACTTTAAAGTTTCCCTTTTCATAATTCATTTTTGTTGTCTCTCGAAAAACGACAACATTAGTTTAAAAATTTTTTTATCGATTTTCGATTTGATAAATGAGATTGTATATATACCAGTATGTGTCACCCAATGTATTTTGTTTTGATAACACTGACCTATACGTCACAGAATTTGTATATCAATTATATGAAATTCTTTCCCCCATAAACTACAATCTCAACTCCTACACATACATTTACATGAAATGTTTGGGAAAGTGCAGTTAATTTTCAGTGGAAAGTGCTTTATTCTGTTAGATTTAAGAAAAAAATACCGCACATTTGTCAAATTCACAGTCGAAGTTTGGTCATGTCTTCCAGTGGTTGTTTTACTCAGACATCGAGTGAGTCACTCTTTTAACAGTCAGAGTCTTATTAACCCTTCGGAAAAATGTTTCCACGTTTAAATATTTATATTTGGCAAACAGTTAAGAATTAAATAATAAAAATTTGTTTTGAGTGGAATTATTTCAGTAAATATTTTATATGAGCATATTTTATGGTAGTAATACCAGAAAATATAAAGCAACACAAACATCACTTAATCTTTCATTTTCCAAGATAGAAATTTATGAATTACAATCATAACATGACAAATTACACAAGATAAGGTTGTTGATTTAGTTTTCTCAAATCATTTATACTTTTCGCATAGAATTTCTAGTACTTCTACAATGACGATTCTTGTAATTCAAATCGATTGGTTAAATGTTTGGTATCTAGCTTATATATATAAATATATATAAATATATATAAATATATATAAATATATATAAATATATTTACACATAAATCATACTTTCCACAAATTTATTTGGGCTATGTTATAGAGAGAGTCATCGTCATGTCAAATTTGAAATTGTTTTCAATATAAATTAAAAAATTGAAAATCAGAAAAACAGAAAAACAGAATTTTCGAGACCTCAGCGTTAATCAAAAAAGGGTTGCTCAAAAAAAAAATTTAGAATTTGCTTATTTTAGTAAATATGTGTGTTTTTGTATGAATAACCCAATTTAAGAATAGAAAACATACTAACGAAATAGGAAATATGATGTGATTATAATTGATTCTAACGAAACAGATGACTTTTAGCCTTTTAAAGGAGGTGCATAATGTCTCTCAGTAAGGACTTATTAATATGTGGATGTGGAATAGTTTATACATCGCCAAGCCAACCATCGCTGAAATGGTGGCCTGGCTCCTACTGTGTAGATAACGAACTAAAACTCTGTTGTTTCTGTTTCTTTGTGAAAGGTGTTCAGGTTGCTCTTCGTTTTAGTTTAGTTTGCGTCCACGTCTGTTTTCATTTTTCGGAGCAAGTTTTCGATGTATTGAATGATTTTGTTCCATTTATATGCTCGTGCCTTAATTTTTCCAAAGATATTTTCAACAGTCTTATATATTCTTTATATTATATTCTTTTCTATTTACATTTTTTGTCCATGTCATCTTCCATAGATCGAAAAAGCGTGCTCAGTATCATCTTCATCGGTTCCGCAATATGTACTGTCAAGTTGCTTTCCTTTTTTCCTTCTGTATAGATATTTTCGAAAATATCCATGAACTGATCTGATGAGAACTGTATGACATAGTAGTCAATCTCGCCAAAGTTCCTTTCTGTGTACGATTTTACATTTGGTATATGTTAGTATATAGTATATTAGTATATACATATATGTACATATTTTATAGTGACACATGTGTTGCTTATTTCAAATACATATATGTATATACTTCATATGCAAATTATCGCCCACCAATCTATTTTTTTTTTGTTAAGGGTAGTTTTGACAGTTGACCTCTACATATACCCAGACTTAAGTAGTTATTTTTTTTTGTTGCTCATGCTATTATATTTTATTATGCATTTAGGCAAGTACATATATACATTTAAAAATAAACGTATATCAATTTGATTTGTTGTAGAAACTTGCATTTTATAAATGGTTTCATTACTCATAATTTGTACACATCTACGTCAGGGTTACTCGGAAGAAATTTGGGAAAACACTACTAAATATAAAATGTGCAAATAAGTAGAAATTCATTAGTGGTTAGGTTGTCAATAAAAAAATGTATATAAAAAATGACTCATATTGCGATTATTTGTACTTTGTACTGCAGTTTTTTAGGTTTTGATTTCTGATAGATGACAAGTACAATAAATGCTGTTTTCAAAATTTAATTTTATAAGATTATTTCCGGAATATTAGCAATTGTTTACTACTATTAATCTTTATATTGTATTTTAATTATTTCAAGTTTTTTTAGTAATTAAAATATTTGTTTTTTTTTTGTTCCAGGAACTTATCCAGTGGTGAGAAGTGAAGAAAATAATACAACCAAAGCAAATAAAACTAGTCAACAGTCAAATGCAGAAGCGCAAAATACAGCTGAAGAGTTAACAAATATGCCGGCTACCAACACAGATACAACACACATATCACCGACTACAATCGCCAACAGCAATAGTAGCTGGAGCAGCGACAATTTAAACATTAAATCCACAATTTCAACACCAACTAAAGAGAAGTCTGAGAAATTTATTGGAGGTCATTACACGCCGCAGGTAAACAAAACTGATCTAATAGATCAAAATCAGCAACAGCAGCAACAGCAACAACAATCTGAACCACAATTGTCTCCAATAAAATTGGCAACAGAAAACACAGCACTACCAATACCAAAGCAGAGATCATCAGTGAATATGACATTAAAAAGTCATACCAAAGAAACAACAGAAGAAACGTCGAATTCTTTTAAAACTGTAACTCTACAAGAATATGCCACCACCAAAGAGAGTGAAGTATTTCAACAGCAGTTTAATAGCAACACCACCACGACCACCGCAAAAACAGCACAAATGTTGAAAATCAAACAACAACAAGAAGAAAAACAAATGGACACAACAATAGAAGAAACAACAACAACGACGACGACAACTCGTTTAACAAGTTCTTCTTCAACGTTGAGAGAGCAAGAATTCTCAAAAAATAACGAAGTGCATAAAGTTGTGGAACTTAACACAAACACAAGTGGAACATATTCTGCACAACAACAGCAACAACAGCAGCAACAGCAACAACAACATTGTGCAGTAATTCAATCCACAACGACACCAACTGGAGCAAACACACCGCTACAGCAAAATTCGTATCAGTCGAATTTGAAATACGAGAGCGAGCGGTCGTGGGTAGGTAATAGTAGCGCGTCTATTTTGACGCCAGTTAGTGAAAAGACTACTTCACCAATTTCAATACCAGTTGTGTGCGGTAAAATTTCAAACAAATTACAAAACAATCAGTTCATAAAAAATCAACAAGCGACGTGCTCAACTGCTTCCGTAAAATATTTAAAACATAAATCGTACTCTGTGCAAGAAAATACTGCAAATAGCGCCTCATCTGTAACTGGTTCCCCCACCAAGACGTCAGCTAATACGGCTAATACTTGTGCAATCAAAAAGAAAATGGTTGCCGTGCAAGAAATGAAAAAACAAAATGCCAGCCATCAACAACAGATTATTGGTGCAACAGCATGCACACGAAATGGTCGCAATCAAGAAAGCCACGATGACAAGACTGAGTTCGATCCTAGCGAGGACTTGAGTTATGGCCCTGGCATTGTGTCCAAGCTACGTTGCCGTTATTTGAGTTTAGCTTTGAGCCAATCAAAGGAGAAACAAAGACACTGTTTGGATAACTTACGTAGAGCTACAAGTCTGAATAATTTGCTTGATCGTGATGAGCCTAATGATGATGATGAAGAAGAAGAAGAAGAGGAAGAAATGGATGTTGAAGAAGAAAAAACAGATGTTGAGTTTAGATTGAATAGAGATAAGTCAGTAGTACCAGTAGAAGGTGATGGTAAAATTAGGTCGGGCATATTAAAGCATACAAATGATACAAACAATCAGGAAACATTAGTTAATAAAAAAACTGCAACTTTTCAGCAGTACGGTAGCAAAAATTATTCCAATACGAAGGGAGTTACATCGCGCATGTCGCATTCGCAAAATGGTAATAATGCCACAACGACGGGCGCTTCGGTTACAGATTCAAATAATCGTTCTCGGCATTTAAAACGCGGTAACGATTCACTTAAACGTGCGCGTTCGGTAGAAGCTTTACTTTGTGATAAAACTCCCTGGAATGTTATAGTAAATCGTACTAGTTTGAATACAATAGACAACAAGCAATCCGCACCAACATGTGTTACGATTGAGGATAAGATTAATAATGCACGTGAAAGACTTATAATGGGAACTGATATAATGCCGCCAAAACGTTTAACATCTATTATTGATGATACAGAACGACCACCACCGGATTTGGTGAAACAAACCCTTAAAATGTTTGAAGCAACTGCCAATAGACGTCCACGTCCAACACGCACTAATAGCAAAGGCGAAGTCGCGAATAAAGTGGCAAATTATAAAACAATTATTAATGAAAATAAGCCACCTATTGTGTATCCGAAACCGACTAGCCCTACGAAAAAACTGGGCACACAAACTAAAATAGGTACGAAACCAGTGATGGCTGCAGATCTCTTAGGTAGTCCAGTTGGCCGCAAAGCCACAGCTACAGTTACTGGAACAATAAACACAAGCACACCAGAAAATCAAAATGCACTTCAAACGCCAAAATTCAAAACTGGAAACAACAATATGGAACAAAATATAACAAGCGTCTTATCAGACAATTCACCTGATATTATTCCAAGGCAAAAGCTTTTAATTGAAAAAAGCGATATAACGAATGTGGTAGATTCGCCCGTTACTGCTTTAACCAAAAAGCTTGAAAAGCTGTGTATCGAAGCTGATAAACAAACAAAACAAAGCAGCAGCGTCACAACAAAGGAATCCCAAAACAAACAACAGCAGCTACAACACCAACAACAACAATACCATCAACAACAACAATCGCTACAAAGCAAATTATTATTAACAGCCGAACTTAACACAGACGAACACATCGCTGAGAACAACGACGGCGGCAACAAGTTTGTAGGTGGTGACGCAGCTGCTATAATTGACGATAAGAACGATCGTACGTCTGCTGGTGTCGCGGAAGACCGCGAAACTGCTCAGACAGGAACTGCTTCGACTAGTAGTGATCACAGCGACGACGAATACGGTCTTACAAAGCGTGTTACGAAAACGGCGCTCGATAATATTGCTAAAGCTGGTACGACACAACAATTTAAATTTGCTGGTCAAACACTAAATACAACAACAAAACATAGTAATATAATAAACGGTAGCGGTAGCGGTAGCGGTAGTGAACATATAAATCCTGAAATACCGACATCAGTACTAAATGCGGGCAAACAAATCGGTATAATACGACCAATATTAACCTCAAATAGTGCCACTGTGGCAGCGTCAACATTGCCAACATCAACAAATATCAATAATCAGCAACAACATATGGAAACATTACGGCAACATTCCAATTATACAACATCTATAAACTCAAATCAACAGTTAACAAGCCGTGAAATCGAGAAGAATCGCATTAATGAAATGAAAAAGTGCGCATCAGTAGATGCAACACATGCTGTAAATGCTTCGACAGCAACTGCATGTGCCACAACTAGTCTAGATACCGTGATAAATACAAACACTGGCAAAGCAATGTCCGGCTCATCCGCGAACGCTTCCGGTTTTAATGAATTAGATTCTGTTAAATCAACAACGTCGAATAGTCCACTATGGCCATTACGCAAAAAAAGACAACCCGCTGCTCCTGAGAATACATCAATGGTTTTCAATTTTTCAAATCGTAAAGAGGTACCAGATTATATAGAAAATGAGGTGATCATTCGCACAAAACGTGAAATGCCCAAGGTAAGCATATATAGTATATATACATCAATAATTTTAGAACTAAACTCTATTAAACAAAGATATCAGTATCTTTGTATGACTGATTGACTTCTTTGTCTTCACTGTTTGCTAGGGAATGTAAAAAAGTAAATAATATTTGAATTTGTACATAATTTAAAGCGCTTCTTTGTTTATTAACTCCCGACAGTATTTGTAATGAATTCGATAATTCCATGGAAAAAGACCCCACTTAAGACGCACATTTCGTTCTGTTGGAATTGTTTATAGAAAACCAATATCTAAAGGAACAGTGAACAAAATAATATAAAAAAGAAGCAGTGAAGTGTTAACGATCGAAGTGTACTTTGCAGTGTACTACTCCCCTGCATTGCGCTTAGTAAATACAAAAGTGCAATATATCTACTTGAGGAGTTCTTTGTGCTGAAATTTATATCTTATATTGTTGTTGTTGTTGCTTTGTTTTGTTTTGTTTTTGCATGATTAATACAAAAAAATTTTGAATTCAAATATTGTGCATAAATTTGTATTTATTTATAAATTCATAAGCGAAATTGCATACCAATCGGTTAATAAACTCATGCATTTCCTTATAATTTAGCAGTTCTCTTACTTTTGCTATAATTTTGTATACAAGTGTGGCTATACTAGGGATTATTCTTCGAAATTCTTAAAAGATTTGGGGTACTTTTTATATTTTATCTAAATAATATATATTTTACAAAGTCTTCTTATCACTATTTTAAAATAAATTTTATATTTTATATGTTTTTAATATAAAAGCACTCGGCTCGAAATATATAGTAATTTTTTTTTATCAGTCATCGTCTGATTATTCATACTATTATTATTTTTCCAATATCTTATGATTAAAACGCTTAATGTGTTATCATAGTTTTATTACATTTCAGAGTAGATAAGAGTTTCAGAGTTTATAAAAGAAAAATTTCTTGCTTTTATTATGGTACGGGTAGTTATACGTACATTTATTTTAAACGTGTTTATTTTGTTTAAGTAAAATATGTTTTCTACAAAAAAAAAAATACAAATACTGAAATTTTTACAGCTGGTAAAAATATTGTATTATTACTACATGCATATACCTATACAAATTAGAATAGAACTTCCTGATTCTAAACACTTAGAATCAATTAGAAAATATTTGTATTGAATCAAATTAATAAAATAAAATGAATGGCATAAGAATATATTTGTTTAATCGAATAGACATTTTGTGAGGAATTTAAATAATTAAATAGAACATATACTCTAACAGAGAAGATTTCACAAATCATATATTTTTCTAATTAAATATTTGAACCTTTTTTTTTTAATTTCAAATGAATATAATCCTAATAATATCTAAGTGTAGATAGCAAAAGAACAACTTAAAAAAGTGTTTACTTCGCATAGCATTTAAACTGATCGAAAATATATAAAAATTTAATTGAAAAAATATTTAAATTAAATTTATAAATAAAGATTATTAGGCCTAAATGACTAGCATTTTTCTTGATAAACAATTTCATAGTATCTGGAATGTCAATAACATGTCGATAAAAATGATAGTGTAACCGGTTTTACACACATGACTCACATGTTTTTATAAAGCAAAAACAATACAAAATCTTATATTATTTTACCATATATTGCAACTATCAACCTTACCTGCATTATTTACATTTCTTTCAAATATATTATTTTTTTTTGTACTACTTTCAAAACATATTAAAAAATCTATTTTCCTTATATGAATTTTTTTTAACGACTGTACATTCGTAATGGTGTAGAACTACTCCGCCTGCCTGTTAAGACGTTTTCGCATGTCTTAAACACCCGCCTTTGCGAGTAATTCCGTTTCTCGACCAAATTAATTAGTTTTTATGTTTTCTTAATAAATTAGTCAAACAAAATAATAATAAGCGTGTTCAAGGAAAGCATGCTATGAGATGGAGTTTACCCTATGATGATTGTTGTCGGAGAATTGACTCTGCGGATAAGGAAAAAGCTGTACTCCACCTTATGTGTCAGTCAGTGGCGTAACTACAGGGAAGCAACTGGAAGCAACGCTTTCGGGCCCCCGAATTTAGGGGGCCCCACTATAAATTTTTGTATTCATTGTATTTATTTTTAATAAGTTCTCAAAAGTGGGACGAAACGTTTTTTGTTGGATTAACTTCATATTGCATTTTATAAAAGATACGTAAATTTTAAATTTAAAGTACATAATATGTATGTACTTCAAATAAAATATTAAACCTATTTATAAAATAAGAAAGTTTTTCTAAGAAAAATATGTGTCTTAATCGAGAGACTTATATGGAAGCTATATCTAGATTTAAACCTATTTGAAAATAATTTTGTACGTTGTCTTTTGCAAATATCAGTACTGTATACACCAAATTCCAATTGAATACCTTTATTAAAAACGGAGAAACCTCATATCCGATTGTAAAGTTTATATCACAGATACAAGAAATAGACGTCCAATTTCAATCAAACCAAATGGCTCCCGAAAAGTATGTGTGTAAAGTTTCGTTCGAAGAGTTCAAAAGCTGAGAGAGTAGTTTGAACTGAAAAAGTATATATATATTGTACTGATATATACTTAATGATATTTCCGACGTTTCCTTTAATGCGTTACGAAAATCTTGACAAACCTTATATATCCTTTTCACATTTTTTCGTGTAAAGAGTATAAAAAGAGGGGCCCCTTAGTATGTTGGTAGGGGCCCCTTAGTTAGAATTTGCTTACAGGCCTAAAAAATGTAGTTACGCCACTGGTGTCAGTGTTCATCATTGACTAGAATAAACGATTTAAATTCTTTAAGGCCCTTTTCTTACCGACATGATATAGTTTTCATCCTGCAAAATTCACCAAGTTTATAGACTTGTCCCGTTAGTTTACTTTCACTTGAATGGGGAAGTCGTGCCTATCGACTTTATTCGTATGCAGACTAATCAGTCCAATCTAAATTAATTTCTTGATTTTCTTTTAAATTGTGCTATTTAACCAAATTGTGATATTGAACCCTTTCCTAATATAAGTCTAATAAGTAAGACTTTATAATTGTGTTTCTAGTACTATGTTATTAATGTTTAACACTTTCCTAATATAAGTCTAATAAATAAGACTTTATAATTGTGTTTCTAGTTCTATATTATTAATGTTTAACACTTTCCTAATATAAGTCTGATAAGTAAGACTTATATATAAAAAACGGCGAAGCTTAGCATCAGCAAGAAAATATTCGAATAAAAAAATGACAAACATTTAAAACTGGTCTAAATACACTTCAACGCTTGTTTAATTATAATGTTCTATATATAATAAATATGAGAATAGGTGTAAACTCTGTCCACTGTACACGTTTTCATACATGAAGGGCATATGCCTATTAAATTATGTTTATATACAAAATTTTTGTTACTTACCATACAACAATTAAATTTAAAACTTCTCTGCCTTTAGTTCAGAAATTTTATTTCATTTTTAACTTAACAAATAAAAATAAAACAATAATAATAATGATAATAAAAAAAAATAACTTGTTTAGAATGCAACATTAATATTTTTGTTATTATTGTCGTTTTTTACGAAACAAGTTTGCTGTGTTTTACACTTTGAACACGTTTATGTAGTTACAATTTTTGTATTTTTCCTAAAAAAAATTTAAAGAACCTGGCTCAAAATACATAACTAAAATTCCGCGAAAAACAGGCAAAAAATATTATCCACCAGAACTTAAATCTTTAAAATTTATAGTTTTTCTAAAAAGGCTCCCAAGTCTTAGTCTTAGTCTAAGTCTACAATAACATTTTCCTGTTTATGTTTAAATGTTGAGTTTATTTTATGTTTTTTCTCAGGCAATAAACTATGTTTAAACTTTAAAGAACATGCCATGCTATGCCAGACTTTAGTTTCTTTGCTTATGTACACTTAACATATTTAAATATTCGCCTCTGTAGCACATTCTTTAATAGACCAGATTCTTCTTGATGTACCTAAAAAGCTAAGTTCATTTCATTCATTGTTTTACACATTATTATCCAATTGGAAACCTTTGAACATACCACAAACAACTTAAACAACAATTGAGGCAACAACAAAACCAACTGAAAAAGTCGTTCTACTAAAAATCTTAACGTGAAAACCACTTGAAATGAAATTTAAGCCTTTCATAAAGACTCGTGTTTCTTGAGAGGCAGTAATAATAACAACAACAACGAAAACAACAATAACAACAACAGCAGCAGCAGTAGAGTGATATAAAATACAGAATCAGAATAAATAACGTATGTTGCCTTTTCAACTGCTAATAATAACAACAACAACAACAATTATAAATATAACAACAACTACAAGCGAGTGAGCGAGCACTGCAAATTTTTTGTTATGGCAGCGAACAACAGCTGCAATCATAATTTTTAGATATTTTGTTTTTACTTTTGTGGAACTTATGTTGCATCATGTGGACACACATATTTTTCTCCCAGTGTAGTTGCTATGCGTAATAAACAAGTTAAAACCTCTTTTTCACATATGACTGTTGTTTGTTGTGTTTTGTATTTGTTGTTTTTGTTTTTATTTATACTTGCAACATAATTTGTATTTTACGTGTTTGTATTTCCTACATTTTCTTCCGATTCTTGTGATTTTTAGAGATATTTTGTTACATTTATGACTTAACAATTAAATTCCCATCAAAACACTTGTGATAGAAAGCGCATACAAAATTGTAGGTACTAACAATCCACTTTCACACTTCAATATGAAAAAAATTATAATCAGTTTTAAAACAAGTGTTTTGTTTAACTTTATTGTGGTTTTACAAGTTTGTTGGAAGATACTCGTACGAACGTATATGTATAATATTCCTAAATATATATCATTTTTAGTTTAATTAACATGTGGCATCTCATCACTTGACTTAAGAAAAAGATGTACACCTTAAGTTTTAGGATCTACTCTTAGTGTTCAGTTATTTACTTGCTTAATTGGC